AGCTGTACTTTTTAATAACTATTACTCAAATAGAATATTTTTTAACTCCCAATCCTAAACCATAGTTTCAAAGTAAATGATAAATAATAAACACCAAAATTTCTATATTTTTACTTTTTGCAAGATAAATTCTCACTTCAATGGTAATAAAATAATAATGAAAGATAATGAGATTCACTATTCTTCTTTGGGTTAGTTTATACAACAAAATTAGATAACCAACTCTTGCTAAATCTTCAAGTAAATAATTTGTAAATTACCTTTTTTTAATTTATGAAACCATAAAAAAACAAATATTCTGAACTAAACCTACTGCACTTGTGATATACCCTTTCTGAAGCAAAAGTAATACTTGAGCTCATTTGGTAGCAGTTAAATGAGTTTTTTTTTGTTTTTTGATTATCAATCAATTCTAACATTGCAAAGATGTGATGTTAGCAAAATTTATATTTAAATATATTTATATAGCACCAATTATGTGATCTGTTCTTTGTTAAAAACACACAAAACTAATGCAACACATGTTACATGATACATATATGATTATTTTTGCATCAGTATTAATAATGGCTTCTAAAATTCTAAAATTAGAAAAAGGCTATTTTTGAATAAAATAAAAAAAATTAACTAAGATGCCCAGAATTGTGTAAGATAATATGATCTAAGTAAAATTTTTTTGTTGTACTACTTATGATCACCAGTGTAATTGTATCTTCATATTCATGTTATAGTATTAGTCATATAGATGTTACTCAAGGTGTGTGAATGCGATAGTGGAGCATAAACTTGCTAAAATTTAGAATATATATAAAGGGTCGCTCTCACCCTAGTTCATATCTAATGCATGCTATCTGGAATCGTCTCTAAATAAAGGATATATAAATAATACATTCTTTTCTATAAAAAATGCTTAATAACCATGAAATACAAGTTTCTGCATCTTCTCTTACGTCAACCATCAGAGTTAAACTCAATATGATTAATGAAACTCTTCTATATGATGGTTACTCTAGTATTATGCTATATGATAGATCTACATAATTGTGTAGTTAATTAAAAGGCTTAACGTCAACAAACACGCCTGTAAATCTATGTTTATAAGTATTCATGAATTCCTGTTATATTTTAAATTAATTGGTTATAACATATCGATAAATTTAATGTGTGTACTTATTAAGTTTAAAGTTAATAGTAACAAACTGACTATTTACATACTATTATTTCAGATTTGATGAGATTCTGTGGCCATACGCTTTAATAAGCTGGTAATAAAACCAAATAAACACAATTTATTATTAAATTGTAGCATAAGGAGAAGAGATATAACAAAAAGAAAATTTATTGAGCCAGAGAACAGTTCCTTGATACTTTTATGACATTTGATTCTTCTCAAAGAGAGGAATTAAATAGTTCGTTCAAGCAAGTTATTCTACATATAAAGATACCAATTGGAGTTTACAAAATTATGTTATCGCTTTATAATATAAAGTATACTGCTATGTTTCACCAAACTAAATAAAACTTATATCTTTCCCTTGCAAACTATGACATCTTATTCGATTATTTAGATCAATGTTGTCACCGGAAGGTCACTGGATATCAGAATTAATAGTACTACTGGAGATTCTATTATTAAAAAGCTCTGCTAAAAACCACTAGAAACAAACTTTTTGTCTTTTTTCATTTAAATAGGGCTCATGAGGAAACACAAAATTGCAAATCAGCAAATCAGCAAATCAGAAACAATATCATCTGCAAGCTGCAAATAAATACAATTTTTCTATAAACTGAAGACACCAATCTTATCACAAAGGTTTAATATTTTTTTTTTAATTATAAGTTCAGTAAAAAGAATTTGAGGAATTGTATAATAATGTAACAACGTTATGCTCAAGCTCAAATACAGTATATATATAAATATTTTATGAAGATATACAAAATCATACAATAACCAATTACTGTACACCAGCACAAACAAATCACAATTTCTTATCCTGTTATAGATGTTAACGTTAACTCAGAAAAACTTCAAATAATAATATTCCATAGTAGTATGTAATATAAGGCAAACAGAGATTGTTAACCTAATCTTTGCTATCCAGTTGAAATTTCTATAGTATTCCATAGCAAATGAACAATCAAATTAATAATATGAACTCTAATCACAATTATGGAATTTGAGAACTTTAATAAAAGTATCGTAGTAATTAAATTGTAAGGTAAAGTAAATGCTATCTTATAGGAATATATAATAATACTACACTAATCACAATCATGCTGTGAAATGATTTCATGTACAGTTTATCATCAGAGGATTTATTTTTTTCACTTTTCCATTTAATATTCTATTTAAGCTGGATGGGGAGACTTTATACATTATTTTAGTATCATTATGAAATTAATTGTATCGTACTATAATTAATAAAAAACAATATACTTTTAGTAATCAAGTTAATTATACTTTAATAATTTCAAGTACTTAGTATAAATTTATTAAATTTAATATGTAAACATAATTCAAGATTCATAAAATATTTATTTTACAATCAATTTATGAATAGCAACAAGTTTTTTTTTTTTTTGCTAGTTTTATAAACGTGATCAAGTCTGTGAAGCCTTCTATACACTTTTTCATTTAAAATAGATCAAAAAGACAGTTAAATGATCAATTCTGAAATCAACTTATATTGCACAAATTCGAAAGAGATGTACTACTATAAAGTACTAATAATAATTAGGACTATTATACACACGAATGTTTGTAGCATAACTAAAAAATATTGATAGAGAATATTGTTGTATTCTTTAGATGCTACTTGTATAAAATCACCTCAAGATATGTATTCTTCAATAATGACTTTTACTTTATAATTTTACAAAGTTTTAATTTTTAGAATATTCAGTTATCACAATGAAGGACAATCTTGATGAACTTATTAGTAGAAAATACTCGCATATCATGAATCGAATTATGTATAGAAATTGTAGCATTTGTAGGGAACCACTCAACTTTTATTTGTGTGATAAGTGCAAAAAGCTTGATTGTAGAATCTGTTCAATTTGCGGTAAAACAAGGACCGGGATATTTTGGTGTCAACATTGTGAAGGTCTTGAATATATAAATAAATTCAATAAATAGACTAGTGAAAATAAAGTTATTGACAAGTTTTTAAGAAAAACTCAAATTAATCCAAAGCATTCTTGGAATGTATGGAAATGAATTCTGTACACACAATTTATAGATATCCAATTTCTTGGTGAAGGTGGCTTCTTAACTATCGAATCCACTATTTGGTTAGAAGGGCCATGAAACTTCACTAATCATTGTATTAAGTCGATTATTAGGAATCCAAATAAGAAAATTGTTTTAAAAAGATTACATAATTCGCGAAATAATAGTAAAGAGCTTGTGAGAGAAGTATGCAAAATTAAATTCACAATTATATTTATTTTGTAATGCCTAAATCTAAGTATATAAATATTTTTCATCATTTATATAGCTCCAAATAATCTATGCTTACCAGTATTTGAGCATAGTAAGAATTTACAGAATTTCGCAGCACCTGGAGACTGGTGACTACATCATAATAATGAGATTTTATGAAAACCTAAGAAGTTTACAACACAGAACAAAGCTAACCTGGAGAAAGATCTTTGTTAGTTTAAGCAGTATTATATATGGGCTCGAAACTATTCATAATGCGAGATTTTTACACCGTAACTTGCATCCTGGTAATATTTTACTTGACATAAAAGATGATGATATTTTCTCTACATGTGGATATAAGATTTTTAATAGATTTCAACGAAACAAGCACATCATCAAAAATGTATGGAATAATTCCATATATTGAACCTGAAGTTTTCCTGACAAATTCATACACTAAAGAATCAGATATTTATAGTTTTGGTATTATAATGTTAGAAATAGTATCAGGATGACCCGCATTTGCGAATAGAAAACATGATCTTAAGCTTATTTTGGAAATTTGTAATGGCAAATGGCCAGAAGTTCCACAAAAAATACATAGAACTTGCCTATTAGTGCTTAAATGCTAAACCTTCAAAATGACCTACTTTAAAAGAAATATCTGAAAAATTAATAGATTGGTTTAATGGGGTATTGTTATTAAAGAATTTGATGATATCCAGATCAACACCGAGTCATTAAAACAATATTGTTCTAAAACTATTTACGTTAGAAGAAAACTTTCCAACCTTCCAGAACATCACATTCACACATTCAATATTTTGTGTGCTAAACAAACACTAAAATTTGATGAAAATAGTGGTAAACATGACCCAAAGAAACTAATAAAAAGGTTCTTTTATTGTAAAAATAAGCATAAACCAAAGAAGCTAATAAAAAGGTTCTTTTATCGTAAAAATAAACATGAACCAAAGAAGCTAATAGAAAAACTCGATTATCATAAAAACAAGGATGTTGATAATTTTATTAAAGAAAGCAATCTTAAATGGATTCCATATAAAAGTTTTAACCAAATAAAAGAAATAGGAAATGGGGGTTTTGCGACAGTATTTTGTGTGATTTGGGAAGGTCGTGAGGTAGCATTAAAACAAATGCATATACCTAAAGATGTGATTAGTAATATGATAAATGAGGTAAATAACTATAAATTATTTCTAAGAATGGTCTGGTCTAGTCTCATCTATTTTGGTTCAGTCTTGGCCTGATCTATTACTGTATTATGAGCGACAGTTTTTGGACTTTGTTAGTCCAGACTGGTTCAGTCTTAAGACTAAGAGCAGACCAATTTTTTGAATTCAGAATGGTCTTAAGGCTAACTTTTGGTTTATTAGTCTAAGACCAGACCACATAACATCCTTAGATTTCGCAAAAATAGGAATGGGCTATATTAATTAAATTTATTATTGAATAGTTGCGAATACAACACTTATGTTATTCTAGTGGAAATGATTATATTATTGGATTGCATGGAATTTCGCAGAACCCTATAACAAGCGAATATATAATTGTAATGGAGTATGCAAGTGAAGGAAATTTAAAAGATTATAAAAATTTTCAAACTCATAAATGGTCCGATAAATTTGTATTACTCGTCGATATTACCTGTTGCTTACGTAAACTGCATGAAAAAGGTTATGTGCAGTGTGATTTTCATAGCGGTAACATTTTATGCAGCAATTACACACGCGTAGCAGATTTTGGATTATCTAGATCTATCGATATATCTTTGAAAACAGAAGATGGTGATGTTGTAGGAGTTTTTCCTTACATCGCACCTGAAGTTTTATTAGGGATGATGCCATACACAACGGCAGCTGATATATATAGTCTTGGAATATTGATGTCCGAATTTTCAACAGGAAAATCACCATATTGTAATATTCCACACGATAAAGATTTGGCCAAAAAATTTATCCTTGCTGGATTACGTCCCCAATTTGCTGAAGGGACGCCAGAATGTTATGTTCAACTTGCCAAAAGATGCATGAATGCTGACATAAATAAGAGACCTAAAATTAAAGAAATTAATGAACTTTTAGATCATTGGAATCTTATTCTGAATTATGGTCCGAAATATCCTGAATATAAGCGTGGAGGATATGCTTCTTTAGATGATAATCCTTTTAAATATTACAAGGTTGAAGATGCTCACGATGCGCGCTTGAATGCAATTGAAGAAAGGAGAATAGCTGAAAATAAGTTTTCTCATTATGGTTCGGAATTTGAAGAATATAAAACAAAAACCGCTGGTCGAAATTATTAATCATAATTTGATTCATTTGAAGAAAGGAAACAAATTCAAACCGAATTTATAGAATCCGATAAAATTAATAAATCAACAAAGATTAACACACAAATTTATGAAAATTCGGTATGCACGAAATGGAACTTTAAACAAAGTATAAGTCAAGCTTTAGAAAATTTATCTGATAAAAGTAAGTTTTGTTATTTGTCGTTTATAATTTTTATCTCATTAACGCTATGTTAATGTATTTTCTTAATTCACAAGCCAATTATTCCTGCTTGATCAATATGTGGTCTCGTGATAGTTATTCAAAATTCAGCTATGGAAATGATCGCGGTTAGAGTTAAGTGTCGGAAAAAATGGTATAGATCTAAGATGTGGTTATGAAATTGCATTAGTTATCAGAATAATTATGCTTAATTTAGAAATGTTTATCTTTTAATTTCTGTTTTGACATTAGGATAGCTGCGCGACATAGTCGCGCTAAAACTGGAAACGTGATAGTTAAATTTAATACTATAATTCGTATACCGTTTTTTGAAAACTAATGCATATTTATTTTCTACCTTTTCGAATTTATTTATTATTTTTTTTCAAATCATTAACTAAAATATATAAAAGAATAAACTTCAATATTTTGTAAACGTTTAAACTGGCAGCATACTACAAATGTGTACATACATGTGATAATTTGACAATTACTTAGTCGACTTTTCTAAATTACTGAAATATAATCTTAATATATATCAAAAATAATGATGCCAACAATAAAAGTGATAAAACTAATGATTTATATTATAAAGTCGATGGTTTGCCTTTTATTTATTTCGTTTGTATCTTCGTTTATTTGTTCTGTATTGAAGACAAAAAAAAAATTCGCTGATTTACTGATTTTATAGCGCAAGTTCTATGGACTCAATATAAAAATTATAGGGGAATTTACAGATAAGGGCCCAAAAACGAAAATAATTACAAGGGCCCAAATGAAAATAATTACAGATAGAGGCCTGTTATTTGAAAATTATTACAAATAAAGGCCCAAAATATAATTAGAACCTATGATTTATGCCGGTATTAATCTTCAAATTCGTGTACAATGCGAATAAAACAATTTTTCTAAAACAAAATCTAGCCCTTGCCTATGGTTAGGGTAAGGATGTTCTTGGAATTGGTGCGGAGTATGATTTATACCAAAATTTCGCAAGGAACTTTTTTGCTAGCCCTATAAGAAATTTTTACACGTGATTGCACATGACTGCACGAAATATAGCACGTCCAAAGCACGGAAATCAGATCA